TCATATGGTTATCAAAATGAACTTGGCCTAATTAAGTGGTTTGGTCCAAACATTACTGTAAACAAATCTTCTAAGCACAATCATTATTCTTATGGAGAAGGATCTACCTGCTATTTGGAAGTGTTTGAGTTACCTTGATAAAGATAATTAGATTTTATTAGCTTATTGTTTTACATGTGTTATTTTAATGGGCTGAAAAAGTTAACCAAAATAGTTTAGAAAGTCTCAAATTATCGAGTAAACTGAAATGCATCTAACCCTTCACAATGAAATTTCACTGGAAATTTGTTACTTTACTTTAAGCACGTATTCTAAACTAAAATATGATAGTGATAATTACTACTTACTGACACTAAGAAGTAAATAATAAAGTTATTTTATAGTGAGTTAGTATTGACTATCAAATTCGCATTTTAAACAAATAAATCTTCCGTAAGACATGTATTATGCTTTCTTTAATCTTTTGGAAAAAGAAATACACTGTTACTCTCGTACAGTATTCAAACGCTTTATGCAGTGAGCTTTACGCCCTAAATAAAAGATGGAAAAGAAGCACAGCTGCTAGAGAATTCGCTTGTAGAAGTAAAGAAATTGGAGCGGTGAATACTTGTGTGGTATTGAAAATAGGTTCCTGCGTTTAGCCAACCACATCGAACAGCATGTTTTGGTGGGTTTCAAACAATCCAGGAGGCAAGTTACGTCCTACTTGTGATTTGTCAGTTGGATATACCTGCATCCCAGTGAATGTTGTTTCCACGAAGACTCGAATCCAATACCCATCCCTTCAAACACCAAAGCGTTATTCACTAAGCCACTAAAGAATCCTTTTCATTTCCACACCTTTATTCATATTCGGTATAAATTATTTTTAAAAATGCTTAAAACATGCTCTTGTCAGCAATGCAGCAGATTCGATTCACCTGTATCTACATCCTCAATATCAGCTGCTATGGTTTACTTATATTTCAGGGTATTTTATTTTGATGGTCATGATTATTATCCCTAATTGGGTTCTAAACGTTTATATGGAGTCAGTATCCTGAAATAATACTGCTATAAGAACGCGCGTAGTGTCATCAGACAGACTGTAAATATATGCCACATAACATATTGGATTTTTAATTTCTTAAACATAATAGGGAATAAAGATATTTTTAAATGACTTCATTGCAAGCTGAACAATTCCTAGAAGTTAGGAAGTGCTGATGAACTATTTTACCCCGCAACTTCACTGTAACATCTGGAAAATATAACTTTTGTAAGTCACCAAAAGTTTTGAAGTGATAAAGCATATTTTGTAGCTCAGATGGACAATGTAATATATTTACTTTACAAAATTTCTTCTATTTATCTTGAAGTATACGACTTATTTACGAACACCTACGGGAAAAATTATATCAAAAGAACGCGAAAATCTTTATTAAACAGAACTTCTGAAAAAATACTCATTAGAATTCTTCTTTCTGCTCTGAATTTACTAATGATAAAAAATTTTAGAAACAGTTTTTTCCGATAGCGTAATTAGAAGTTCAAAAAAGGGACTAACTCTTCCAAACAGTTGATTCATTTAATTTAAATGTAGCCTTTTAAATTTAAGAGGAAAGGAATAATAGTGGACAAAGGTCCGTATTTGCATCGCATTTAAAGAAGATGCCATTCCTGACAAAGTAAACAGTAAGATAAAATAAGCAGTAAATACAATTTTCCTGCAGTACACAGTCCTTTATTTACACTGAACTAGTTTAATTCTGGCAAATATCCTGAATTTACATGCACTTTTGCTAGCAAGAAACTGAGAAAGTGGCCATCAAGTTCTTGGAGCAAGTTTCAAAGAATTTATGCATGGATGAAAGCAAGATCATGACCAGCGAAATTAACAATCTTTTGGCGGATAAAAGATATAAAGTTTATACTTTCGGCATTTTTAAAGTGCTAAGGTTGCAGAAAATGTTTGGACTACTACTGTTTTTGGAAGCACTTGCTACTTCTACCGGACCTGTCCATACAGACAGTTTGCTCAGTCTCACACCATCATAGTGACTGTAGTTTAATCATGTTACCTTTAAGTTGTGTAATTCTTTATTTTAAGTTGTTACTAGTCTTAACCTTATGAGTTGGGCTAACTTCTGCACATCTATTGCAATTTTAGACAGTAAAATTTCATTTTCCCAACCTAGCTTTTTTTGTTTTTTCCTATAGTTACACGGAACTAACCGTGTGGAATTCGGTAAACTCTCTGTAATAATGAATTAGTTTTAACATGTATTCTGTATTCTGCAGGGTAGTAAGGTTTCTGAAATCTGCATCAGTTCCTCACTGATGAAATCCTTGCAATAGTTGAAATGATAAAAGATAAAAAATACTGGGAATTGCATCGCAAACTTCTCCATTTTTATATTTAAGAAATTATTTTCAAACAAACAAAAACCGCGAAAGTTCCATTTGCAAAGTAGTTTGTTTACTTTGAGTGTTGGGAATTTCTAAAGAATTTACAGAAAATTTGCTAAAAATTCTACCAAATAAAGAACTTATTTCCACTGTCACACTATATTAAATAAATGTTTCTTATGATGATTTGTTAGATGGACCGATTGAAAACTGATAATCAATCCTGGGTGTCATAACTGGGTAAAAACGCACAGACTATCAACATTACATTGAACAAAGTGGTCGCAATCTTCATCTTCGATCACTTAAAAACCAATTGGTTATAAGACGTCATGACATTTCACCGCTCCCCTTCAAATCATATTATGCAGAGAAAACGATGCAATAGTCAAGCAGGACATATCAAATATCATTTACAAAATCAACTTCAATAAGTACGATCAACAATACAGTGGACAAAGCTATCGCTGTCTTCGCCTTCGTTCACTTAAACACCAATTAGTTATAAAACGTCACGACATTTCACCGCTCATTCCAGTGTTTGAGGGTAACTATGGACATTGGGTCAATTTTGACAATGCAGAAATCTTGGACAGGGGAAACATAAAGAATATCAGAGAATTTCTAGAAGCTCGACATTCAAGTCAATCAGCAATCAGCAGATGTTCAGACATTGACCCAATCTATCAACCAGTGAGAAAAATGATAAAGAACAGAAAGGTGAAAGGTCAAGCAGAGGAACAGTCAACAAGAAAATATAAAGCCAGTGACACAGCAATTAAAGGAGACAACCAATCACAAAACAGTTCCCCAGGGAAAGCTACTAAATCACCCATGGAGAGATAGTGACTGTTCACATCATATTGAATTTGATGCTGGTGATGTCGTCTAGAAAGGCGATGAGAGCTCCATGATTAAACAATCCAACTGAGGGAATAAAACACAACCAAGTATATCCTGGGGATTACATGAAATATCTTCCCTTCAAATAGAACTGCTATCAAAGAAGAAGACATTCTGATATTGGAGATCGACAGTTCACCATTATATACACAGTTGTGGGATGCTATGAATGTATTAGTGATTGTTTCATGTCCGAAATCAGCAGAAGCAAAGAAGAAGCTGAAATATGCCTCTCAACCTCATTTTCTAGTAAATGACTGAAGGAAGATACCCAGAAAAATATTGTTTTTGTCACAGAATATTAGCAGTTTCGGTTCAAGTCTCAGTTACATGTTGCGAATAAGAAAGCTTTAAAGTAGTCCTGTTAGTGACCTTTGAGAAAGAAAATCTGTTAATATGGCTCACACCCAAGTATTTTTATGGTTTCAATGGTTTACAGAACTCCGAGATATCTTACGAAGACTTTAGAATTTTTATTTGCTATGGAATAGATTATCATTTAGTGGTAGCAACTGGAGTGCACAAAATCTGTTATGGATTAGTGGACAATGATAAGTACTGTGTTGTGATCCACTTTTTTGTATTTTTTTGAATACATTTGTGTAAACCCATTTGAGAATGCATTTCAGTAAATCTTCTCAGCTGAAGCAAATGGACATGTGTGTCACTTTCCATCGTGAATTGTTCAGTTAAAATAGTACCATTCTATCTAGGCTGTGCAATAATCGAAAATGGCTGTAAATATAAATAACTGACCGCGTAAACCTAGTCAGAAAATATTCAAAGTATAGGCTGTCAAACTTTATCTTGAGTAATCAATTTAAGGTTTCAATCAAAAGAATACTGGTCTTGAAATTTCAAATTAGAATGTCTAACCCACACAAAAAATGGTTCACAAAGGCAGAACAGCTATCAGAAAACATCTTATTTTGAGAGTTACATTAAACCACTCAATTTATTTGAAGGAATCAAAACAGGTCTCAGTACTACTGCTCACGCTTTTTTGCAATTGCATCCTTGAAATGTGCATGAAATTATTTCAACGAGTATGCAGTATATTTTCATTTTTTAGATTATTTGATTTTTTGTGATATAATAAGTATTTTTCTGCTCTTTCTCCGTAAATTACTTGTATTTACAATTATCTACCTTCTTTGATCTAGTCATAGCCTTTAACGAAGTGTAAGAGTACTTCACACTGAAGAATTACATCTTTCCAGCAGATTTATAGGAAATTACTTATGCCTATATTCTTCTTGAAAACGTGATGTACAGTGACTTATTATCTGTAATAACAGTGAATAGTATTGCAGTGCAACAGCTAAGTTTTCTGTGTGGATAATTAGTTTCAAAGTCTAGCTGATTGCTATACGATGATATCCTCAATTTGAATTCATATTCTGAATAATATTCAGTGTGGTGTCACTATATATTGCTGTATGATAGTCACTACAGGTCATAATCACCCAAGTTACTAACTAGTAGACTGAATAAAATTATTAGTGGAAATTTAATTGCACTACATAATTAGTGATTCCTTACTATGTGTAGCTCACTCTTGCGCACACTAACAATCAAAAACCTACACGTAGGCGCACGTAAATGTTGATAGGTTAGTAGTAAAATCTTTATTGGCATAATTGATTCAGTGTACCCGGAAGTGTGTTATTATATATATATATATATATATATATATATATATATATATGACTGCTTCTGCGTAAAAGTTGAGAAAAGCTTCAAAACAATGAATATTTATCACGTCAACAGAGATGGAATCTTCATCTTATTTGTATGCTTGAATATCCTACAGCTGTCTTCATGCATGTAAGTTGTTTTTAGAGTTTTATGGTTGTTAATCGTTTTATCTTCTTTAATCTTTTGAAATAAACTATAAAGAATATTGACAAATGTTTTCCTCTTATCTGTGACTTCGTTTACCATTATTAGTTTTCAGTTACTTGTAAGCTTTGCCTAACAACTTTTGGATACCTATACACCAAAGATGGGATGCAATGATATGGAACTAAAGCTTTTCTGATCTCAAATTTCATAGTATAGAAACATCGGTTGAATGATTGAGTCTTGTGGTGGCAAATTTATGTGACCTTCATGTTACTGACTGTAACTGATAGATTTCTTAAAGGTTTTGGACCATCAAGTTATGCTATCAGTACGGGTTACTTCTTAACATGTATAATTAATTAACTAACGTAAATTTGCACAATGATGGATAATAAGCTTTACTGACTGAAATCAAGCTTGTTTTATGGCTGATCAGTCATGTGTTTAGCAATCAGAACTTTGAAATACAAGAAATGAAAGCGATTTATTGATAATCTACCCGAAAAATCCCCTAAAGTAAAACTGAAGCAATACTCAGTCCTTGAAAAATACGTCATTACATACATGTAACCTAGTTTAATACTTTATTCATCCTCATCACTGAGCATTTGGGCTTTCAGTCAACAGAATGGCTGCACTGTTCTTAAAGGTCATTGATTAAGTTAAACTGGACTACTATTTTAACCACCACCTATTACGTTTGTCCTGGGACTGTATGGGTATTTTTATCGGAAGAATAACTCTGTCCAATTTTACTTCTCAGTAGTTCTTAGAATTTTAATGCATGACTGGAGGAAAATTGATAATCCTCATTTCACGAGTGATGTTTATATGTACCGTATGCCTTAAAGTAACGGTTGATTAAAAGTGATATACATGTTGATAGGGTGCCTTTATCTTATTTGTAAACCCCACATATAACCTTGAGCTGAGCAATTATAATTACTTCGAGTAAACTTGTTCATAAGAGTTCAAAAAATTTCTGTATGTTGATGTGAAAATCCGAGATATCCATGGCTTGTTGTGTTGATAAGTCTCCAGATATTTTGGGAAATCACCTATAAATTATCACAGAAAGGCAAATATTAGAAATCTAGTTGAGTTAAACATAGCAGGTACAGTTAGAAACTTATCTGAAATAAGAGCTACAAATAACAGACTGGTCTAATGCCATCCAGCAAGATATATTCAAGAAGAGTCATGACTGAAGGTAAAGCGAAAGTCCAGGTAGTGACAGGATTAGGACCTCCGGATTACCAGCCCGAACTCTGTCGACTGAGCTAAGAGACCCAGCTGTTTAATTCGCAGCATGATGTGAAATGAAAAATTTCTTACTGGTTATTTGCATTACAAATTGCAAATTACATGTAAATGTTATTAAACTGTCAACCTTCTATTACTTTCTACCAACACTTTAACTTGAAATCAGTGTCACTAGAAACATTATCGGGCTTGCACATGTGATTCCACTCGGTTCACAACTACAGGACAGCATTCAGGCAGGTAAATATGAGTCATCTGCAATTGACTAAGCACACCTCATCTTATATTGAAAGCACGATTTTCAAGTGATTCTGAACGACTAAACAATAGTAAACTAATAAGAGTATTTTAGTAGACATGAATGCTCGAACAACTCATCAAAGCACTGTCGTCACACTACGCCTAGTTCTTAAGAAATGATTTATCAAATATAAGCATGTCTTCAAAGTTCACCTGTTATTCGTTACTTTTCCCCTATGCAAACACATTACGTTGACTGCACAAGGGTTTTCGGTAACAAACGTGAATTTGTACCTTTCTGCAACAAGTATCGAAAATAAAACGTTTCTATTTAAATTGAATGACCATCTTCCAGTTATTGATGATCTCAGAACTGGTCCATAAAGTTTAATAAATGAGCAAATGCCCTGAAGTAATTTTTATACCAACGGTTATTATCAGTAGATTCTCATTATACGATCAGATATCTTCATTACTCCACACATACAAAAGAATGATCATCATGTTTGTCGGAAATTGCCAGCTGAAAAAAGTTTTCTTGAATACAATTGTAAAACTTGGGCACTGTGGTAGAATATAATTCCATATAAGACTTGTTTATTTGATTTATAACACACAGTGATCTAGTATTATTTGTTTGTTGACGTTTTGAGCATAAATTATTGCTCATAATCATATAAAGGTAATCACACTACTTTAGACATTTGATTTTTATAATTACGTTACTTTATATGAGTTGTTTTTATTGGTAGCAACATTTTCCATATCTCTGGTATCGGTGTTGTGTTGGTTCTATTACATGTGTTGTGTGTTGATTCGATAAACAAAGATTCAGTAATCAACCTCTCATTCTCTCCGCCTAATCATATTGGACTTAAGTACAGTAGTTTTGTCCCACCCTACTGTGTGGTTGTGTGTTAATGCAGGCATAGCAATAGCCGAGTTTCTTCTAGATTATTGATCTTATTTAAGTCTGTTATTCTATATTTAGCTAAATTCCTATGCTCAGCTATTCTGACCCCGACCGACTAGTTTGACCTATATACTTGACCTCACAGTCATTACATGGTATTTGATAGATAATATTATTTTGCTTAATTGGTTTTGTCGGATCCTTAGGCTGACAAAGTTTATCTCTGAGTGAGTTTGCAGGTTTAAGTGACACCTTAATTCCAGTTCTGTTGAAGATTCTACGTAAAGTTTCTGAGGTACCCTCCTTATAGGGTAATACAATAGAGGCTGTGTACTCCTTTTTACTCGTGTTGTTGTTATTAGTCGCACGAGTGAGATTGTTGGAAGCGGTGTGATTACATTGATATGATTATGAGCAATAATTTATGTTCAAAACGTCAACAAACAAATAATACTAGATCACTGTGTGTTATAAATCAGATAAACAAATCTAATAGTGAAAAAGTTTTCACATAAAAATATATGCCTAAAAAGGAAAGTTAAATTATGGTTCTGAGGACTGACAAATTAAAATTTATTTTATTCTGATATAATTACTAAGATATTTCCAGAACGTTGTTAGTTATTCATAAAGTTTCAAAAGATCTGAATATATGAGACTACATTATACATGGAGACAAAATATCTAAGTTACCCTAGAGCATTGGCTAGCGAATAATATAGCCTGCAGGTTGGTATTCATCATGGATTGATATCATTCAGAGAAACATTGGGAACCTGAGAACACTGGACAGCTATTTCGTCGTGGTATGGGATTCAGCAATGCGCATCCATGACCCTGCTAGGTATTGGACCCAGGAACGTCAGGTTCCGGGGCTAGCACATTACCATTGAGCCACTGGGTCGGAATCCATACTGGGACGAAACATCTCTCAAGAGCTACCAGGTTCTTACTTTTTCTCCCTCTATTGTCAGTTCATGGTAAATACCCAGTTGATATTAATTAACAATTCCCCAGGAACTTCAAAATGGGACATTACCTGTAATTTGAGTTTCGAAGCCTCCCACTTAGTTTTGTCTTTCTTATTGCCTCTAACTAACCGAAATAAAAGTCTACAGTTCTGTCAGTTTAACTGTTGTCTTATTGTGTCATTTTTTAACCGGTAATTTTTTTCCAGGAATAATTTATCGATCAAAGTTGGTTGAATTTTTCAGAAAAACGTAAGATAGTAGAATAATCAATAATGGAACGAAATTGAATCTCATATAAACGACCATCTACTCAAGTTATGCCACTTCGTAACAAATTGGGCATAAAAGAATAACAGAAGTATAAAATTAGTAGACTACAATAAAGGTGCTCAGAAAGTAATTTAGTAAACAGACAATGGCCAACTAGATGTCTGAAAATTCAAAAGGGATGATGGATATTTCTGTTTCATTTTGATAAATTTTCAGAAGTACTGCAAAGTATTTTAAGCCATTATTACAAATATGAGAACTAAAGTCGAAAAGGTTGTGACTTTTTACTGAAGCTAAATAAGTAGATGTTCACTTCATGCACTGATGTAACACGGAGAAAATGCGATTAAAGTCCAGTGTAAGTGAGCGCATAAAGGCATACAACCTCATCGACTGATTGATCTTCCTCCCCAACAGCATTGTGCCAAACCTTGTTTTTGTTCTTTAACTCCACAACACACAAAGAACCTTGTGAAGCTAATGACAGTTAGACAACTTAAATCTCCACTTTCCACAACCTTCAGCAGAAATACCTCATTGCCGTATAGTATTACCGTACGGATAATTGATAGGAGAAGTTGGTCTTTGTTAAGTTCTCAGACGGATCACACGTAATGTAGATTATCAAGACTGACAAATATACAACCATTCACTTGATCGTTGTGCAGCTCTATTCAATATAAATATCTTAGGAGGTCACTTAACTATTGAAATAGGTAAAGTGGTATATTTAATCACATAATTTCTTATTAACAAATCATTTATTGATGAAGATCAGTAGATCAGTGGATATAAAAAACATGTTAAACATGCTTTTTGGCTGACTAATATTAACTTGTAAGATAACAACATTATATTCACCTTTATTTGCTAAGTGGCCTACACACGAAATGCACTTCCAGAAACCGTAATTTGTTTAAATCAGTAGATAATAACGTATTCAGCTATAGTTTCAAAATGAGAAAGATTCTATCTCAAAAAACAAATACAATTAAAACAGCTCATTTGCTTACTTTGTTATTGTTTATTTTGAAACACCAGTTCATATTTAGATGACCTTCCAACATGTATTATATTTAAACTGCATCCGTAGTTACAAAAATCAAGTACACTAAAGATTTTCTGTAAAGAAATACTCAATAAACAATCAGAGCAGATTGAAATTGAGAATAAAATGTATTTAACAATAATGTTCAAATAGTTGGAATATTATGTTTATCAGAAAATATTCAAATATATAACAACCATCAGTGTGAGTTCAAATGAAGTATTTACATTCTCTTTCTTTGCCATGGCCATCTCAAGGGGTTGATCACTGTAGATAATTCTCATTCGGAAAGCTTATGTATATATATATATATATATATATATATATGTTTTTTTTGACATTTTAACAGAAATTATACGGAAGTGTTCTATCTTTTTACTTTATAATCACAAATATACAGCCAAAAGAATGAAATTGCCGAATAAAACAAAATATTTTCCTCACTCCATAATCTTATACCATAATGAAATAGGTTTATTCTGATTCATAAAGTAGATTGAACTTTTGTGTCCCTTAGTTCTGGTGCTCCTTAACGCATTCATTCTATATGATCGACGATAAATAAAACTATCCAGCATATCATACAGGAAACCAAACCGACAGGCAATTTTTGTTTTTTATTCATTATCCATCCAGAAATTCAAATAGCTATCTTCATGGACATTTTTTCCAACTGTTTTCGCAAAAGTATTGTAAAACTTTTGTGTCGTATTCTCTGGATTTCGTCTACTTACAGTGATATTTTTATTTGATACTATTCATCGCTATTTTGCTCATTATAGTCACCTGATTATGGGTCTATAATTTATAACAGATGAAAATGTTATTTTAATGAGATTGTCATTGAATTTTCCATTGACTCAACGATTGGCTACCTATTTCATTCATATTAGCGTTTTATTATTCATAATTACTTCAGCAAAGTGAATGAAGAACTGAGCAGATTTTTCACTGATCTCTACAACGCAGATGAAAATGCAGCTGAAGTTGGTAAGGATTATCAGCTAAATATACAAGGTACGTCAGATGCATTTGTTAGTCGCTGAATTTTCATCACACATTTAACTCACTCTTGAGATAAATATATTTTCGAATAGTTTTTTATTTCTGCTCCATTTCCTAGGATTATTTTTTGACTTTAACTATCAGTCAGTACTGGTACTACAACTATTATTCATAACAAACAATCTGTTGATATTTGTATTACTTATGAGGAGTTAATTCCAGTTTGTCCTCAAATCAAGCTGAGGTGAATTGTTTGCCGTCTTTTCAATACCTTGAATAATAAATAATCACATAGGATTTCAGTTATGTTTTGCAAATAAAGAGGAGTAATCTGTGTGTTTTATTGAAATGGACAAAATAAAGAAACGGTCACTGAATAGTCTTTGTTATACGTTTGCTTTTGGATTCTATAGACAATCAGGCTTTGAGGTGGAATAGGTTACTCTAGATCTCACTGTATCTATTTAAGGATCAGAAGTATGCAGGTAAAAGCTGATAACAACTCGTCACACTTATAACAAATAGGAGATATAGTTCAGAGTTGATGTATATTTACAAATAAATGGAAAAATTAGTCACATATTGTGAAGTAGTTTTCAATGAAAGATCAAAATACACTGTGCAGTGGAAAATATTTAATGAAGGTGTTAGAGAATGTTTAGCAATACCAGTAATAATGAACTAATGTTAAAGAATAAACGTAAGATCACCAAGAAAAGTTCTAAGTAGTTGACACTAGTTTTAGCGTTTTATGTACCACTTATTCGGATTATTACTGTTGTCTGTCCCTTGGGTTCCTAGTGGAATATAGGGCTTCAGTAGCACGTCGCCATTTCACTCTTCTCTCTGCAGTCTTTTTAACCTAGCTCCACGAATGCCCACAAGCTTTTATTTCTTCTTCACAACATCTCCTCCATGTCACCCCCAACTCGTGGTTTCTCCTTTGGTTTCCACCCGAGAGCCTGGCTCTTGATGTCTCCAAATGGTCTCCTCAGTGTATTCCCATCCAATCCATCTCTACTTTATTCTGAATATTTGTTAAGCGATAGGTTCTTAGTTGGTTTGTTGCCAACCCGAGTTCCTTGTTGCTTATTCTTATTATTCTGGCCATCTGATCTTCAGTATCAAGTGAGCGTAGGTGGCAGCTGCATGTCATGTTTATGAAATCTATCAGTTACCTTTTAAAATTTTAGATACTCATGATATTTTTTTATCTCGATAGGAAATGTAGCTAAAGGGATGGAATCACAAGACAATGCTCCAATGCCGCTGTTCAAGTTCGTTAACGAAGATCTGATTAAGAAGAGACCAACATATTCAAGTACGTTACATGAAGAAAATTGTTAGTTGAAACGTTCTCCGTGAATATCTTCCCTACAGGAAGTCGATTTATCCCTTAACTTTTTTATTATTCTGCTTAGTTTTATTACAAATAACAATATCAGCAACTGATATGGTATAAAATGAAGATTCGCATGCTTTTAATTGGGACAACAAAGGTTAAATGCTAGTTGGTTGGAGGCAATCGGCAGGAAGCCCTGGACCTAGGTTTCGTACTTTTTGGCACTCGTCAGCAAGGCGTATCTGCAACCTCGACGGAACTGATGTCCCACCCGACTAACATCTACTAATGTGCACCGCGATGCTGAGCTTCGTAGCTTGGTTGCCACATTGCAAATATGGTCGATAGAATTTGATCTGCACTCAGGACTGGACAACATGAAATTGGTTGCACTCCCATGACCAGTCAATAAAAGTTAAATGCCTTAAATGACCATGATATGATCGAAAACTACCTTAAAAGTTTCTGGCCAGTCATTCGAATGCCTACAATTTGAAACGATATTAACTGCAATCACTAGTCATAAATATTTATAAACTTTTAAACCTGTCATAATAGGTAAAATATTTCACATTAAGGTCAGTGGATTTCTCCTCAATTCTGCTACAAAGCTTGTCATAACTTTTAAAGACACCAAACAGTAGCAAAAATGTGGGTCTGATGGAATGAATTCATTGCCTACCGTTTTCAGTACAAGGCTGCTTTTAAAATGTCATAAAGAATCATGAACAGATAACCATACAACTGTGAAAAAGAAATCAGTCTTATTTAGATTTAGTAAAAGTAGTAACCGATTGAATTATTTTTACTCAGCTTTACTTTTTGTACTGTAGAACTGAAAAATTGACTATTGCAAGGAAGATAAATTTAGCCTATACGTTTCATACAGTAATAGAAATATTTTACATGGAAAAACATTTCAGCAACCATTGTTTGTTCAAAAACTCGTATAAACATTAAACTCAAGTGTAACGTAATTGATGAGGTTTTAGATTCGATTCTTTTACATGTACTGTTCCAAGTAGACCAACCAAGATCAGATACCTTTCTAATTCTGCCTTAATTCATTTGTTATTCAAATAATAATCACTGACGAAAATCATTATAAAGATAATAAGAGAAAAGGTGGCCATTTGCTTTGCAAAACTGATGTTACCGACGAGTAATGATTTAAATATGGGTCACTTTTCCTTTTAAAATCAGTGAGATATTGGTATCCCTTAATAAACTACTGTTCAATAAAGAGTATATAATGCCATTTTGTACACTACTTTTTTACATGATCATTTTCATAGTCTGAAAGACATTCAGTAGGAATACAAGTAGCTTCCAGAGGTTGACTTATATTTCAGTCAATACATCAGGGGTTGTGTAACGGAGCTTGTTGAGCTTACTGGTTCTAGACTGTATACCTGATATCTACGTCAGCTTATGATGTCTTCGTATAAGCATCATCAGAAAGTGCTTTCTTCAGGAAAAAGTGGATACTTACAGACGTCAGCAGATGCAAAACTTTGTCACTGTGGTAGAATATTTGATCTAACACAATGACACACTATTATTGACTTGATGATGTTTGGTGCAGAAATAAGTGCTTATAATCATTTCACTTTGATATGATTATGAGCAGTAATTTATGCTCAAAATGTTATCGAGGAATTACAGTTCACTGAAATCACAACAGTAAATATTTCGTTCAAAAACAGTTTGGAATAATTTTATATAATTAAACTCTGGATTGTAAGCGGATGAGGTTAATCTATTTCATGATTTTACTAACCAACTGTCAGCTAATCTTGTTACGGTGCTGTTACTCATTTCAAATAGAATAAACCTTATTAGCAACTGTTTCTGAACTGCAAATGAGCTTATTTTCCGAATTCAATTAAAGCAGTTAAGTACCTAAGGAAACAGTAATATTTTAAATATGCAGATACAAACGTCAACTGAAACAAAGTTCTTTTTGAGAAGAGTTGATTTATCCTTCAATAAATTTCATTAGATATTTAACGACCACATGAATGAATAACGACTGATCCTATTAGGTATTATTTTGATAGGTAGTTTTCAGGTCACTTTGTAATCGGTCACACTTTCTTTCAAACTAGTCCTTGGGGTATACTACATCCTATCTCGCTACATTTTTTCTCAGGTTAAATTTCATTAATGTCATGAAATGTAGTTTGTTTGGGGAATCTTATCCCCATGTAACGTGTTACAGTTTTCAGGCCGAAGAGTCATCAGAGAGAGGAATCAAGATATATAATCTGAATGAGAAAATCAGTTGTTTCACTTCTAATGACTTGATGAAATCCAAACTTTAAAATTAGTACTCTTTTCCATAAAAGTTAGCAGTCCTTCAAATTTCACAAACTAAACATTTTGTTTGGACAGGCAATCAGACTAATCTGAAATCTTCAGGCGAAAATTAGAATGATTTAGAACTACAGTAGTAAGTATAGCACTTCAGGTTACCATACTCTACATCACCATATAATACAAAAGCCAACTATAGAAGCAGAAACATATCAAAACAAATAAACAACACGTGAGAAAATAAGAAGAATAAAAGAAGATAAGTAAAACACCCAGTTAGAAATATGAAGAAAAGGGTGAATGCATACATATCAAGGTTATCCAGTATAAGACATGCTGAATATCTTCGATTACAGATTCCTAATGGCAAATATTGATAAAAGATAATCAGGTGTTTTGCATTCATATCGATTTTCAACCTACAGACAGTTTACTGAAGGTGATGCATTTCCCCAACAGAGGAAATAGTCAACACTTTCAACCAACTTGACCACAAATTTTCTAAATTGAGTATCCATGCAGGAAGTAAAGACTGGATTGACGTATATATATATATATATATATATATATATATATATATATATAATTGTCTAGATTATCTTGATAGACTGAGAATATCAAATATCAGACGCAAAGCAGTGCAGTAACATATCAACACTTTGGAAACTTGATAGATGCATGGGAATATTTTAGAGCTTGCATTCACTTCATCCTCGTACTAAACAAACAAAGTTCACGGTAGCTGTGATACGAAAGTTAAATATCACACTCCATATGCTAAACAAGAGAAAGTAAATGTCAACATTTCACGTAGCAGTGTTTATTGTTAAAACATAAGTAGCAATCTACCTGAACTCTGCCTGAACTCAGTGATACTTGTCCTCATTCTACTAGTTAATTATGCAGTCAGTCAGATATTTTTATCTTTCTAGTTAAAAGTTCGGAGACAGAAAATTTTTGTTTTCTGCTTTTCCAGCACAATGTTATATGACTTACGGGCAGGTATCTTTTCCAACAGTCATTTCTAATATTGTGTCCATGCAAATCAGGATGAGACGGATTCACTTAAATCTTGTGCAATAATAACCTTCCTTAAAATTCTTTTTAGATTTAAATATTTAAAGATCTCACATACAGAACTAATGTACAGAAACTGTCGCGGTACACGTGTAGTAACACTAGTTTCTGAAAAATTAGATACAATTTAATGTATGGATAGTAAACTATAAATTGGTGAAAATATACATCTGTTTGTAGGAACAATGAGTAAATATTAGCCTGGAACTAATTAATCCGTAAGCAAATTTAATGCCTTATTAGAAGTAATATTTGTAAATGTGAATGAGCAGCCGATGTGACTACGATCAACAAGCAGTTATGCATCATGAGTTCACATGGCGGTCGGGTAAAACTTTTAGAGATTGAAATAAAGTTAAGGTCTGTTAAGCAGCTTACGTGGCAAAACACTATCTGATAACCATATGGCCGCTAGCTCAAATCCTACTGTGATTTAAACTTTATTTCACTTTCAAACACCACTCAGTATTAAAAAAACAATTATCTGCGATAGCTGCAAAATTATACTCAAAAATGCATAATAACTTTTGGTCTCAGCAGTATAGAAGGTATAAGAGATTTACCAAGAGTACCTCATGTTTGCCGACATAAAATTAGATTCTACTCCTATTAAGTGAGGTAACCATCTTTGTATCCTCTTCCTATACCTTCTGGAGGGAACTATTTCTTTTATAACAGTAGAAAGTTCAAAAATAAAAATTACTCTATGTTAGTACTGTTTCATAATAATGCAAAGTGGGCACCATACCGAGTGTATTTTTCTGTTCGGAATTCTGATGCAGGAGCTACGTGTTCTCTAAGACTGATGATAGTGTAAATAAACGCTTATGCATAACTAGTTCCTGATAAATTAGGTATCTGAAATTCATCGACTGAAAAACAAACAGTTCAACAAAGATATTCCTTTTGATGACTTCTAATGTCGTTAACAAATATTTTTTATGCTTCAGTAAATAAAAGGATATTGAAGAAATGACAGACAGTTAAGAGAAATGGAATCTAATCTGTAGGTTAAGTTGTTATCAAAAGTACAAAGTTTTCATAATATACTTCTGGAAAAAACCTCAATGTGATTATATTTACAATGATTCGAAATAAGGGGATAATCTACTGACAAATGGGTGATAATCATAGTTGGCAAGAATTTAGACTTTGAGAAAAAAACTGTACTGATGACAAAAGTAAGCTGGTGATGGTGAGACACCAGTTTTAGACTTTGAGTTCGTTAATGAATATCTAGAATAATAAGACAAAAACAAGCTACTACAGCTGGAAATATACTAAATCACCCACTTGCAAAAGTTCACAGAAAATGATTTTACATCAAATATATCTAGAAAGCCAATAAACAGTACCCAATGCAATAACACCAATAACCACTTTGTAGGACACAGAAGAGTTACTTCTGAGCTGTTTAGATTTCAACACTACCACTATATTTTTATAACTTTTGCAATCAATCGTCTTTTGTATTCATATTTTAGAGTTCATTGCCCTGCTGGACAACTACATTCCTGAAGTTGGTGTAGCTGAAACCGTCACACCACAGCAATCAAAAGAAGAAGAGGAATTTATTCAGGAGTTATTAAAGACAAATATCATGCAGCGAACATACGATTTTCTTAAACAGAGAGGAAAATTTTCTGGAGATCTAAATAGTTTTGGAAAGTTCTTGAAAAATCTTTGGTTTAAGAGGTATAGTAGGACTGGGTGAGTTAATTAGTATTTAAAGTAAATCTATTTCCCTACAGTGATTTGAAACCAATACAGTGAACAAATGAATGATATTTTTTATAAAGCGAGGAAAATCATAATTTTTGTAATGATTGAATGCAGTGTAAATAGCTGAATAATCTTTTGAACGAGTAGTGCAAAGTTGAAAATAGTCTTAGTTATTTCCAACAGTAAAAGCTTTCATGAACTCATATAATCTACCTGACATTCATTATTTTGGTATTTGTATTTCTCAATAAATGTGAAACAAATGCCAAAATAAGGAATGTCATTTTCCCAATGCCCAACTATTTTCAAACCATCAAATCCTAACTTAATTTGCATATCTATCAGTAATTTACGTGACACTCACAGGAAACTTTTGAATGCCGAGTCAAAGAAAAGTAAGGCATCCTTCTCAATATATGCAAATAAAACAACTTTGTTTACTGTCTAATAACAGTTCAACGTAGCTCATTAGTCTTTGTGGAATGCAAGGCTGAACAAACGGGATTCAAGCTAGGATCAGTTCTTTTAACACTACAGATATTCATTTCAGCCAAATACCAACCGACACAAAGTTAAATTAAGAACTTTTTGTTTCTGGTTATAAGCTGCCTTATTGTTTATTTTGCATAGCAAAGTATTGCTGATTGTATCACAGAAAGTGGTTAGAGATTCCTCAGTCTGAATACAGAAACATAATTGACACCAATTAACAGAAAAGCAGAATAGAAGAATGTATTGTTTTGAAAGTGGAAATTGAAACTATAATGAGAGAACATGATTGATAAAGAATTTTGGCTTATAAAGCTAAAGGGTCGTTTCGTGAATCTCAACGTTTTCAGCTACGAAACATGCGTGAACGTTATACGGTCTTTAACATATTTCTCTCCACTTACGGATGACTTGTTACGGGTACTTTGCTATAAATAAACACGCAATTTCAGTAATGTGTCCTTACATAGTGTTTTGTCATCAAGGCTTTTAAAATAATGCTTTTTATGCAACCCGTATTTTGGTAATCAATGTTGTGAAACTTTCAAATTAGTTCGGTGGAATAGTTCATCTTTCTGTTTCCATTCTGCTCCACTGGAAGGCAAAAGAATAGCTTCATGAGACAACTGACAAGGTTCACACGCCGAATGCTTTTCATAGGGGCTTAAGAATCTTTTTCTCCAAAATATCAGCGGATAGCATGATTTTAAAGTTCAAGATTATCAACGGAATCTGCAGCTCGCTAACTCCTGCTTTTCTTCGAGCTCCGATTTTGATCTTAATGCAGTTTAGGCACCTATTTTCAATGGAAACGTTTTTCATAGTAGTTGTAACTTCGTATATACCGGGACAAAAGTTATCTTATATGTCACTGCATTTCATGAAATCTTCCGAACCTAAAATACTTATTGGTAAGAGCTCTTAAGTTAGCGACTTCAGGTAGGATTTACCTAAGCTGTTTTCTCAGATTTTCCCTCGACTCACTTTCTACACTCCCTAGCCGAAAATAAAATGTTTTCTATTAAATCGTCATTCCCGGTGGAAACCAAACAGTCGGTAAATTATTAAAAATATCCAGCAAAACTTTCTAACGTCATGTTAGTATCAATAATGGATGAGCCATTTACAAACACATTTATATTACCGAGAATTTGAGTTGGTCGCTTATAGATTAGGCATGATAAAATCCATTAATAATGAACCTAAAGTATGTCTAATGGTTAATGGAGCAACTTTTCTCCAAACCACATCGTTCATCACGGGTGAAACACCTGAAATCTATGTCTCATTATTATTATTTGTTTCTGGGGTTCCTAATGGAACATAGGGCTTCAGTAGCACGTCTCCATTCCACTGTTCTCTGAAATCTTTTGAACCTGGCTCCACGACAGCCCACAAGCTCTCATTTCCTCTTCACACGATCTCCTCCATGTCACCCTTGGACGTCCAACTCGTCGCTTCCCATGGGGATTCCACTCGAGCAACTGGCCTGACACGTGATGTCCCCAGTCGGCCTTCTCAGTGCATGGCCAATCCATCTCCACTTCTTCCTGCATATTTGTTGGGTGATAGGTTCTTGGTTGGTTCGTTGGCAAGCCAGAGTTCCTTGTTGCCTATTCTTTCTGGCAGTCCATCTGATCCTCAGTAACGAGCCAGCGTAGGCAGTTGTTGATGAATGTCTGTAATTTGTTGGAAATGCCTTTCGTAACGCGCCAACTTTCTGAACCATACAGGAGCACTGACTTGACGTTGGTGTTGAAAATCCGGATCTTGTTCCACATGCTGAGTGCAGAAGATCTCCACACTGGTTTCAGGCTAATGAACGCCTGTCTTGCTTTTCAGATTCTAACTTTGACATCCTCATCTGTGCCGCCTGTAATTGAGACAGTGCTGCCTACGGAGTAGATCATTGATTCTCCAGTTGACAGTTTGGAGAGTCCACTTCCATTCCATCTGCTTTCGCAAATTCCTAACACTTCAATGTGATACCTTTTCATCTCCTTTGCAATCTGGGCCGCCTTGCTGGGACATTCCATGTCCCCACGTTTACTTTCGCTTTCATCGAGGGAAAGAAGACACATCGGCCAATTGGCTTCCCGAAGACTTTCACCAACTGGTGTCATTTCGCCTCTCCGATTCCAGCGAGGAATAATTTTGTTTTTATTTTTTATATTTCGTTTGTGCTTCGAAGTTTCTTTAGCGGTTAGATTTGTTTTACATGGTAGGGTTGCTAGCCCTATGTCCAACCTTCCCTCTTTACCCGGGTATGGGGCCGGCTAGTAACTAGTGAACTGGTTAACCAGGCGAGGTCTCATTAGACAAAACTTAAAATGTCACCCTGCACTCAGTGAAGAAATTTAATTTTTAGTAAAGATTAATAACTGCCATGAGAGTACTTGATTAAGTTTTTAATAGTGAATTGCAAATAGTTTGGCAACAGCGATGGGTGCACGTATTTCAAACAACTCCCTTTTTGTTCCGGAAACTGTCAGCTACTAACACACGTGGTGAACAACAGCTGGAATGCCGTCTAAGATTTGAAGAGCCAGAACCGTGAAATCCCTCTATTACCACTTACTTTGTCTAATTCAAACTGTGGGAAGTTTACTACACTACAAAACGAAATGAAAGTAAGTATTTGTTCTTTTGATCGTACTTTGAACTTCAGTGGTTTTTATTTGTTGTTTTCTCTTGTTTTTAATGAGTACTTCAAAAATGAACAATGGAATAAATGTGCAATTTTGTTTTCTTTTATTATTTATCCTTCCCTTCTTGTTCTGCTCTGTGAATATATGACCTGAAAAATTATATTTTTCGAAAACACAAAAATAATTATAATGTGGATTGTGAAGGAAAAGTAAGAATGATTCATCCGCCTTTGAACATATATTTGTTGGTGAACACAAAGGATCCAATGTACTTGGATTACACAATTGGATCCAGTTTTATCAAAAAGAAAAGAATCAACAGATAAATTATTCGGGATGGAAACTAAAAGTAAGACCTTTAATAATTTGCTTTATACCCGTATCAAAACTCAGTGGTCTCAATGAATTGATAACTTGGAAATATTTCTCAACATAAAAGGATGTCAGTTGTGCAAACAATTAATGAAAATATGAAGTACGGGACATCTATTTTTCTATTTCTAGAACTTTTATCCAGGCTTCGTTAAAGATAGGACTTGCTTTTTTCAAGCCTGTAGGTTAACATATCATCTTAAGTCACCGTACTAGCGTTTGTGTTCATCATTATTTTTATGTGGTGAGAAGTTCCCACCATAAAACTGAGAGTTATTCAATAAATAAAGATCTTTTATAACTCCAGTTGCCACTCTTATTTATTCCTTGTGTGTTCACTTGTTGTTTCTTTGTGGGGACTACTATATATGTGGACCTTCATATAAATACTTTCAGATTCCACCTTTAATAGTTATTCAGCTCTTCTGTAATGGAAAAAGTGGTAATATAACACATGTATTTGCAAAGGTCAACGTCGACAAATATATACAAAGTACAAGGTTTATATACATTAAAATGGCCCTGGATATTTCCAGGCCTTTCTAGATTTAAATCCCACTGATTTTTAGTCTCTTCAACCAACTTGTTACTTACACTTTGACTCACGTGTTTTTTCCCGAAACTTCAAGGTAAAACGTCTAGCTGAAAAAGGCTTTAGCGGTTTACGGCCACTTAAGAAGATTTTAACAGTCTTATTACACACTATTACACCTCCTTCATGAAATATTGAAATTACGGTGATGTCTTTTGGTTGACTGGCAACCTTTATCTGAACCGTGAAAAATTATTTTTGAGTGATCTACTAATGAATCTGTGTTGTGGCGCAGTCTGAGGCAACTGAACTGAAGCTAATAATGTTCGGAATTATTTGCCTGCACCTAAAGAATAGTATTTGATGAACCTTCTCCTTCCCACTTCAGAAGACTATATTGATAGCTGTATGCAAAAACACCTACTGTAGCTGTAGATGTGGAATCCCAATGTTGTAAGCCCCTGATTTTGCAAACTTGCTTTAAGTTCATCCCAACCAGTTATGCAGGTTTAAGGGTCGCCATGGGACGTTTAACAGTGAGATGGTTACACAAATTTTCTAACCTCAGTGAACCAAATTCACTGAAGCTTTTTTGAGCAGGCAGGTCTGTCATACTCTTTTGGTCTTGTTTGCCAGAAAGTCTCAGTTTTATAAATGATAGCCTGAGTTATTTTATCGGATTCGAGCTAAGATAATCAGGGAGTAGCTGATCTGAATGATAGAATACTCTGCTATGAGACACATCAGAAAGCCAACATCACAGCCCGCTACCCAAACGATGTGTTTAAGACCACCTGATGTATTGTAAACGGCCTGTGAATTTGGGTGGATTCGGGGTTTTCTAGTTACCTGCTGGCTCGTAAATGCAGTATCTGAAGTGGAGCTGGTTCGTAGATAATCCTGGTGTCCATTTTCGCATATCACATACACCCTCTTCGATATAGTGACCCACCATCACGCAAGACAACTATCTCGACCGCTGTGTGTGAAGGGAAGGGACTCTGAAACCTCTAGAGTACCCGTGCAATTATTGCTGCTGGTGCTTGGGTTTACACAGGTACTCCTTGAGAAGCCCCTGTAGACTCATTATGAGGTATAGCTGTAGAAAGGTTAGATGGTACTGAACATGTTACATCATTTTTCAAACCCTCTGGAAGTACTTCTTGGTTTTCATTAACATGATCTGATCAAACATTCACTTCATTCACTATCTTCTGATAAGTGATAGAGAGGTTGCTATCAGCCACCAGTGTAACATGTTTCATATCATTAGGCTTCTTAAACTCCTTTTCATCTTCAACACGTCCATCATTAGAGTATTTACCGAATGTCTTTTTCAAAGTCTGGGGACATTTGGTTACAGATCTTACCTGGATGTCATCCAACATTTGATTGAATTCCTCAATTATACTCAGTGTTCTTGCTTCCATCCCCTCATTAAAGCGTAGTAAAAATGCTTGAAATTCTTCATCAGTAAGAGTTGCCTTTTTTTACCCATCACAACTTTTATATGCTGCAGTTGTCACTTGTTATATTCTTGTAGTGACTACTTGATATAACCTATGCTGAACATATATATTTGTGGACGCTTTTACAAGTACCTTGAAAAACTTACACGCTGATTCATGTGTATTTTCCCGAAACTTCGAAGCAAAACGATTGGTTGAAAAAGGCTTTAGAGGTTTACGACTACTTAAGAAGATTTTAGTAATCTTATCCCACACTATAACAATATCTAAATCAATATTTTGGTGGAAATTTCATCCCACTGGGTATCAGCTGTTAAACAAGACTATTTCAAAATTGCTTTGCTGAACTTCCGGTTCGAATGCATTGGTGAGACACAGCCCTTAACTTAAAATAGATTGTTTTATTATCTGAAATAATGTAGTCAGCTATGCTATTGTTTCACAGTAATTCACAGTTTGAAAATGCTGGATGGCAGGTTTATGAACAGCTTGATGAAGATAGTTTTGACGTGAGTACAAACAAAGATTTCAATAAGAGAATATGACTTTACTTTATTTCAAGAATTCTACTCAGTCACTTACAAAGTGAAATGATTTTGGCTGAAAAAGGCATTTGATATTTTTGCTTGACTTGGTAAGGAAAGCTTTTAATGCGAATGTAAGATGAGTTGACACAGTGAGAACAAACACAGTAAAACTAAAAATAGTTATTCAGCAGCACAGCTGCAAAAACACCCAAATTTGTTCAAGTCGCTAATCAGTATGTTACATCACTGCGTTCGAAGTCCACAATTCTGTATAGAAATCATCAAATGGCATTGCAGAAGTCTGTCTAATCAAATAACTGTCATTCTTTGACTGGATAAGATGAACAGCCTAGGTGCAATGAACAAGAAGGATCATTTAAAGAAGGTGGAATAAACTCGGGGTAACCTATTTAGAATCATGACTGATCCTTGTAGTAGAAAACTTATTGATGCATCAGAAAAACGGATTTCAAAAGCATCAAGACAACTTCTGAAGAAAAATCTTATTGAGAACCTCACTCACGAGGCACTGCCACCGGATATCCACGACCTACAAATCCAGTTATCCAGTGATGATAACATTGTCTATGACCAACTCACCATTCCACAAATTTATCTAATGTTTAGCCGAAGAGTTGGGACATGTCAACAAAAAACTTTGCAGTCCAGTTTTCAACTTACTAGGAAGCTAGAAAATCCGAATCTTCCTGAAAATTCCATGACCTTGGCTTCATTGGATGAAACCATAGTTAAAATAGCCGTATTCTATGGCTAAACGAAGATTTTAATCAGCTTCTAATCACCTGTTCCAAAGGATTACAACTTTAGTTGGACAGTGTTTTATACTGCTATACCGACAGAGCCGCCGTGAAAAGTGGTTTTTATTCATTCAACCTTGAACAAATGCATATGAATAATGTAATTGGTTGGACAACAGCCTTTACTTATCGATGACATATGCGCTATATGTGATAGCCTTGGAAATTCTGCAGACGGACTATTTCTTCTTAACAAAACATTTTGACAACGTATTCACAATAAAGCAGATGCATGATGATAATACCTACTTATTAAAAGTAGAATGAGAGAAAGATCCAGAAATGAACTCATTAGAATGATACATGAAATACAGCGAACATAAATTTCAATAACTTTTCAGTTAAATAAATAAGGATTGGATTATGTGCCTGATTCAATCGAACACATTTACTCTGCAGTGGGGAGAAACTGTTATAGGAACACGCTACTGTTGAGAAATGTCTACACAGCAATGCTTTACGACAGAAATTCATAAGTTAATGCTACAGAAGGAGAGTGAAGTGTGAAACCATTGGTAAAAAGCTTATACTTTTTAGAGTTGGTGAAATTACTGAAAGAATCAGCTGCTGAATTAATACTCTAAGCTTATTCATTTGTATCAAACCAATGGCTCACTAAAACAACTGAAGGTCAACAAGTTCTTGCTCCATTCAACTTACAAATGTATCTGTCAGCTCATATACATCACCCAAAGCAAATGAAATGAGCTTTGTTGTGTAATTCAGCATTTAAAGAAATTTTGTAAAGAAGGAATAAAAAAGGAAAAATTTTTGTTTTCTGTCACTATCGCGTAGATTTTAGGATTCAATATGAGATTATCTTACATTTATCCAACGCATAGTAATTTATGACGAAATCTGCTTCGGAAGTCTTCTAGAAACACTACGCACAAAGATAAGGAGAAAATGTAACTTGGCGGCTGAGTAAAGAATCAGTATAAATGCAAACCATAATAAGTTATGGCCTATATGGTAATTTAAGTGATAACTTTCACCAATGAGGTAATCGGAGAGTTAGCTTTTGTAAGTTACGAGTTGATTAACTTCAGAAATATCACTTAGTATAAACACTGAATTCAAGTTCAGAAATGATATGGTATATTGAAAATTTGTACAATGATACGAACTAGTTTCTGGTGACTGGTGTCAACCTTTTCAAAGCCATACCAAAGACAAAATCTGAACTAACGCTAATACGAAAACAGATTATTCGCTGTGAAATCATAAACCACTAATAAATACTCAAAAGAAACTAAATCATTTATTCAAATTACAGAAGAGATACGAATTGTCGTTCATTTTTAATAATAAAAACGATAGAATTTGTAACATAAACAACCGTTAGTCCTAAATGAGTTATAATAGTAATACCCACTTATCGCTTCTCTCTTCAATACGCTTTTTAAACTGACTACCAGATATCTAACTAACAAAGTGTCAGTGGTGGTACTCCCATTCATTGGGATGCAGACACGTCTAGGTAACAACAAGTTACGAGTACAAAAAACTGTATCTTAGTTTTTATTGCTATCAAACAGTTAACTTCTCTAGTCTCCTCAAACTGTAAGGTTGTAATCATATGAATATTACTTTAATGCTAAATCATAAATGAGATTATATTTCTGGAATAACCACTGCCATTGATGAATCAAGTAAAATTCTGCGGTAAGTAACAGAATAACGTAATAACAGCTTAATGTCAAGTGATTTGGCCGGCTAGATAACGAAAACTGATGTGCAATGTAGCAGCATAGTACCTAGCTCAGTCTCTTTTTGGTGGTCACCAAGGAGCCAGATACATTTGTTTGATGTCTGCTGAGACCTAAGATATAGGTTCAAAGGTAAGTGGAATGACCTTCATTCATTAAACGAAATATAGATTTTTTTCCTTTTGAAATATATGTAATGTTTCTGTTTTCCTTAAATTTCTTCCATAGTCATGTGAAGACCGACTTCTCAGTGTAACATTTGTCGATAGAAACAAGCATACAAAGCCAATGGGAAGCATTTTTATCGGTTCATCTCCAGAATTTGAAATTGCTGTCTATACAGTTGTTTTTACGTTATATGCCAAATCTGTAACTGATGTAAGAATAGCTGGGTGTAAAGTACGCATAACTTGTTATGATTTATCATCCAGCTACATGGGTACCTGTTATATGGGATAGATAACGGCAGCTATGTGGTTCTAAATGAAAATATTTACATAATTCGATATGATGTGATGCTATGTAACCATATATTTAAATAAATATTCTTTATTCCACTGGTTTGATTTCTCGTTGAGCACGAGACAGTTAGTATTGCACAAAATCATCTGGTCTTTCTGTCATATAGAATGAAGATGGATACTTACTTATTACTTAACAGGATCAAACAACAACAATATACATAAGTATTATACTTCAACTCATGACTAAAACTCAAAAAATATAGAAGGAATCTATGAGGTTGAAAATTTGAGAAAAGCGTTTTCGAAGATGAACAAGAAATGATTTGGCAATGATCATTTTAAACATACCAAGAAGAGGAGACGATCTATCTTAAGCTACTCTGAATAAATATCGAAGATCACCCTGACAGTATTAATGGACTATGGATTACTGAGTAGTCAAAACATGCTGAGCGCGAAGATAGTACACTCGTGTTGAAGTTGACCACAACTTATGAATTTTTTGGTAGACATGTTATTGAAGAATGACTGCTTTATCAGTTACTCCTCATTAAACGGTCCTTAACTTGCTATCGTATCAATTTATCGTTAAACATATGAACTCGCCAATTTACTGAGTATATTTTAATAAATGAGTTGTTTACATTATGCGCTAAATAAAGACAATATAGGCAAGACTGAATATATCCAATTTGAAATAACACTGAAAACACAAGCTAACATAAAAATTGCTCGTCACCAAGTAGACTACAATATAGTGAATATCCAGGCAGTATTGAGGCAACCGCATAGAAGCCAATCTCCCAACAGAGGTCGAACAGATCGACCCAGTATAACAACGGAAAATCACAAGTACCAATAAACAAAGACTCAAAAAGTTGGCTTCATAGCTTTCCTTAAGTTAGATATTGTGTAAACATATACGTAATGGATGTAAACTGAAAATGGCCTGAGAATTTCATGACAGTTGAGTGAGATTCTCACTGACAGTCAGTCTCAGAATCTTTGAAATTTCAGTTATAAATAATTCGGTTATCATGATGTATACGTACATTTTTAAGAATATCAGCCTTTGAGTTCAGTATTTCTTTATTCCCCAGACATTTATCAAATAAAAGAAGAGTAAGAATGAATAAATGAAATAAATCCTGTAGATACAACAATCCAATAGTGAAGAAAATCCTCGGGGAAATTGATACATAAGTGTCTAAAGATTGTTTTAAAAAGCCATTTTGAATTCTCAAGAAACTACTTGTTTTACCGTACTAAATGAACCCCAGAGAAGCAAGTGACACATTCAACAAGGTGTGTGATATGGAATCGCGTCAAACCTTTCATCCTGTTATTTTTTGAATCCTATCAGATGCACACACTACCCTTGTTTCTCATATTTCTAGTGTCACAACAAGGCGTATCTGATACCTTTAGAAAACTCCTTTCCAGTAGAAAAGCTTAGCTCGTATTTTTGAGAGAATACCTGAGTTTTATCAAAAGTAATCCTGAAGAAACTAAACAGTGACTTATCAAGGCATATCGTTGACCTTTGTCAAAGATAGTTATTGAGTTTACGTAGCTGTTAGAAAACGTGTGCAGTTTACAGGGAACGTACTACCTAACAATAAATACTATTTTCAGTGCTATAACTTCTATTTCCCCGTAATTACATTTATTTAAATAAATGAAGAAATCAAAATATGAATAACCACATTATTTGTATCACTTTAATGGATAATTTTTGTCAATGTAATAGAAATGCTATCAGCACTGTTTAGTTCCAGACTACTGCTGTTCATCGCCTTGGTGGGCAGTATTCCGACTAATGCTAGACTTCGGGTCCTGATTTCGACTGTGGATAGTTGAAACAAGGACCAAATCAGCGTGGTTTATGGCATTATCGTAACAGTTTTATTATAGACCTTAACAGTAGTGCACGCAATCACCATGTACCCAGTAGTTACCAACAGAAGTTGAGAGACAGTTCAGGAAGATTATTCGTAGTGCAATCAGTAAGAGTTTTTTCCACTCATAATATCCTCGAAATTGCATGTCAGTAATGCCACAACAAAGTCTGAAGTACTAATATATTAACAAGGCCAGTAATAGTCTCTGTGAGACCGTAATAACCTCTGTTAGGTTGAACCAAGTACGAATGGCACCATCATATCTTCAAAGACGTAAGGAGGATACCAAATACCTTCTTCTAATTGGTCATCGTGGAGCTGATAACTTTACATGAATAGGCTTATCGTTAACTAGGTTTCATTTTTAGAAACTTTGGCATGTAAAGCTTCAACCCTTCCCCCACATCCGGTTTCTAATTTCAGTATATTTTTAGCTGGGAATTCAGGAGGATAAGCTATCATCCAATAAGTTTCCACACGGAATATTTCTATTTCTATTGGAACAACCTGATTTATGATACAAAGTTTCGTCGATTCTACATTCCGCATCATACGACTTTATGGAAAATAGCACTAGAGTTAATACCATGTCTACAATGACTCAAGTTGTAGAAAGTGTCTAACATTAAGGAGGATGATTAAGAAAACACTAACAATTTGGTCAACAACGTTTTCAGTGACATCAAATTGACGATGAAGAAAAAGTTGAACAACCAACCGCCATTCCTGAATGTTATTGTCAGTATGTACTGGACCTTCCTGGCACCAAAATACAACTAGGGCTAAAATAAATAGATTAAATTAAATTAACTAAATAAACGTCTATCTCGCCTCCGGATGCTTAGGGTGTTTTAAGTTTTGTTTTAACGAGCATACATTCGAGCAGGCTTAGACGCCATTTTGCGCTCCATGGTGCTGGTTACCACGCACGTACTCAGAGTCCATAGTTCGGCCTTACAAACCAGATAAGTTGATTAAACTTTTCCCCCATCCATTAATTATTACATTTACTTAAATTAAATACATTGCTTCTTCAAACATATTCCGTATCAGTTCTTTTGATTTGTGTTTTGTTATCAGTACTTACATGTTAAGTAAAGTACTGGTTAAGCAGGTACTAGAGCACGTCAAGTTAAGTAGGGTTGATCAAACGTTACGGATTTGTAACACGCACCCCTATAAGTAGGACAAATGCCGGAAAACTGGAAACCCAAGTGTACAGGAATCCAACGCACACTGATCAGATCTTCAACTACAGTTGCAACAGCCAAAGGACTCAGAAAATTAGTTGAGTGCAGATCCTATTCGAAGGAAAATAACGCACTGCAATACAACAATTTTACGAAGAAACGAAGAAAATTGCTTGATGTCTATCCTATGAAAAGAACGCCTACCCATGAAACTTTATCAGAAGATGCCTATCCGGTGTGTCATCAAACACAAAGTCACTGAAAAAAACCAACAAGTGGACCATTCTATCGCACATAGAGATTATGTCAGAGATCATGACAAGATTTCTGAGACTACTTGGAATTGGTACGGCTCGTAAACCAACAAATCCCCTTCAAATCATATTATGCAGAGAAAACGATGCAATAGTCAAGCAGGACATATCAAATATCATTTACAAAATCAACTTCAATAAGTACGATCAACAATACAGTGGACAAAGCTATCGCTGTCTTCGCCTTCGTTCACTTAAACACCAATTAGTTATAAAACGTCACGACATTTCACCGCTCATTCCAGTGTTTGAGGGTAACTATGGACATTGGGTCAATTTTGACAATGCAGAAATCTTGGACAGGGGAAACATAAAGAATATCAGAGAATTTCTAGAAGCTCGACATTCAAGTCAATCAGCAATCAGCAGATGTTCAGACATAGACCCAATCTATCAACCAGTGAGAAAAATGATAAAGAACAGAAAGGTGAAAGGTCAAGCAGAGGAACAGTCAACAAGAAAATATAAAGCCAGTGACACAGCAATTAAAGGAGACAACCAATCACAAAACAGTTCCCCAGGGAAAGCTACTAAATCACCCATGGAGAGATAGTGACTGTTCACATCATATTGAATTTGATGCTGGTGATGTCGTCTAGAAAGGCGATGAGAGCTCCATGATTAAACAATCCAACTGAGGGAATAAAACACAACCAAGTATATCCTGGGGATTACATGAAATATCTTCCCTTCAAATAGAACTGCTATCAAAGAAGAAGACATTCTGATATTGGAGATCGACAGTTCACCATTATATACACAGTTGTGGGATGCTATGAATGTATTAGTGATTGTTTCATGTCCGAAATCAGCAGAAGCAAAGAAGAAGCTGAAATATGCCTCTCAACCTCATTTTCTAGTAAATGACTGAAGGAAGATACCCAGAAAAATATTGTTTTTGTCACAGAATATTAGCAGTTTCGGTTCAAGTCTCAGTTACATGTTGCGAATAAGAAAGCTTTAAAGTAGTCCTGTTAGTGACCTTTGAGAAAGAAAATCTGTTAATATGGCTCACACCCAAGTATTTTTATGGTTTCAATGGTTTACAGAACTCCGAGATATCTTACGAAGACTTTAGAATTTTTATTTGCTATGGAATAGATTATCATTTAGTGGTAGCAACTGGAGTGCACAAAATCTGTTATGGATTAGTGGACAATGCTAAGTACTGTGTTGTGATCCACTTTTTTGTATTTTTTTGAATACATTTGTGTAAACCCATTTGAGAATGCATTTCAGTAAATCTTCTCAGCTGAAGCAAATGGACATGTGTGTCACTTTCCATCGTGAATTGTTCAGTTAAAATAGTACCATTCTATCTAAGCTGTGCAATAATCGATAGTGACTGTTCACATCATATTGAAGTTAATGCTGATGATGTCGTCTAGAAAGGCGATGAGAGCACCATGGTTGAACAACTCAGCCCAGAGAACATAACAAAACCAAGATGCTACAGCTTCCAATACGGAAATCAGGGTCTTAACATATTTCATGAAACTTATAACAATATAGAAGTCAGAGTGACCAGCAAACCAGATTTTTAAGAAAATGATATTCTTGACACATTACAAAAGATGCATAAAGTCTTCAAAGCTCTAAATTGGCGTTATATAGGTCAAAAATGAGAGATCTCTCTGATGAAGCCAATTAAAGTTTGGATATATTTCTGTTTCAAAAGTCATTCGCAT